TCTTTCTTTCTTTCTTTCTTTCTTTCTTTCTTTCTTTCTTTCTTTCTAATAACTAGAAAGAGCAACTTAAAATCTGTTTCAAAAACTAATTATGGGGTAATACCCCAAGCATAAGAAAGGCTTCAGAAGGTAACTTTCTGCTCTCTCGCTCCTTCCATTTGTCCTGTTCATCTTTCAGTTAAGCACTGGGGTGAAAAATTAAAAAAAAAAAAAAGTTACCTCACTCAATTAATTAATACATGGAATAAAAATATAGGGATCCAAAGTGATAGCCTTCTACAATATTTGCACATTTCTTTCAGTAGCTATTAAGGAACACCAGGAGAAAAGCAACATTATGCATATGAAGGCAAAAAAAAAAGAAAACCAAAACAGACAACAACAACAATAAAAACAACAACAACAAAAAAACAAAACCAACCAAAAAAAAATACTCAACCCAACAACAACCAAAAATAAATAACACCCTGAAACACATGACAGAGGCGATGGCAGATGGTACAAATATCTCAAAAAACCCTCCACAAATAAATGAGCATTATTTAACAAGATGCAACAAAGTAAGGAACAGAAGCCATGGAGCACACGGCGACACAGGACAATTCGGGATAAGCAGTTACAGGCATAAGGCACAGAGAGGAATTCATTTCTTACTTGCACAAGTATCTTGATGGGTTGGACAGGTCCTTCACCATGAAGCACTCGCCCCCATTCACACAGAAAGTTTTCTCCTTCTCCGCACACTTTATGAGATGGCTGGTCCCAGTCGTGGATGTAGACGTGGCTGGACAGGAAAAAGAAAGAAGGGAAAGTTTACACTTTGTTCTGAAATGACAATCACCACTGCGATTAAATACAAATTCTTCTCCAGCGAGGCTCAAGAATGATGTTAACAGACCACATCAGTGCTAGTTTTTAATAGCAATAACTGATAAAAATCATTTATTTTTTGGCAAGTCTATGCTATCTGTCTAGTCACCTTTTGCATTTCAGACAACTGACAACAAAGTGTCTGATTGCCAACATTCTTTTGAAGGAACAGAGACAGTTTGATGTCTCTGGTTATCAATCTGTTGTAAGATTCATCTGTTCGGAACCAGGAACATAGAAACAAGTCACGCTTTGGCTTATAAAATTTTCATGTGGTAACTTGACATTTACATCTCCAACCTGACAGTCTTATGTTGTAAAGCTGAAAGTGCCAGACCATTGAGCACACACACACACACACACACAGAGAGAGAGAGAGAGAGAGAGAGAGAGAGAGAGAGAGAGAGAGAGAGA